GCTTCTCTATTCTGTAATAAAGTGTCAGTATGCACTTTTAAATAATTTTAAATAAAGTATTCAAAAATGCGCTCATTATTCTCTATTTCGTACTTATTAAATTTCAGTGATCTAATGGGACAAGTGATTTATTCGAGGACACAATTTACTAGGAAAATATGCACACATCTTCAAAATTCCATTTTCAAAGCAGGTGGATTATCGATTTTCTTCTTCCAGATGTTTTATTGTCTTTAAAATACTCTGGTCCCGCCATGCCACTGGATTTAACACTTTCTGATTCAGCAGTAACATCAAGGTGACATTACGCTAACATCCACTGTATACAAATAGTAAGCCATGTTATCAGTAGCATACACCACAATATGACAAATATCAATTTTAAGAATACTCCAAGAAGTAAGCTTCAGTTATACTGAAATAAATTTCTTTATATCTAAAGACTTGTGTTCTTGTGCAGTGGATTCATTTGTTTAATTCTGAGTTAATGTACAACATACCTAAACTTTCTTGTATAGATTGTTTGAATGAACTATGAAAAATCACAAGGAATGCGCGTGAGATTGGTATATTTAAACAAATTAATTCATGAACAAATTTTCGCCAAATATTTAGACAAATGAATTTTTAATTTATTTTACTTTATCGTGCTATCTTATCCATCTACTAATATAATTCAATAAAAAACTTCTTTTTTAAACTATGTCCCTAAAATGGTGCTGCAAGTCCAAATTTTCTTGATACATTAAAAACTTTGTAAATGATTTTTTTTAAATCTATGTACTAACAAATATATCTTCTTCACATGAAATGATATTTATGAAATAGTTTACTTGTAAACAATGTATAAAATAACAATTATTATATTATTGTAAGAGAATGAAGATTAATATACATAAACTTCATAGTTGTATATATATATATATATATATATATATATATATATATATATATATATATATATATATATATATATATATATATATATATATATATATATAGACTGATACTAATGACCTAACATTCACTTGCTTGAAATTACTGTGGATAACGATTTCGCGGCAAACCAACATTTCCCAGTAGTGTACACCAATCCTCCCCACCTCCAATGTTTTATCTATAACCAAACTAAAGAGGACTTTCGAACTAATGATGAACATTACACCAGTTATAGCCACTAAATTCAGAATATCAACGTTCAAAATTTAATCTTTTCTCCATTTTCGATCGATTATTATTTTTATTGTGCATTCGATGGGGCAAATTCATCACCGTCAGCTCTGCAAACTTTATAGATCACAACTTTCAATTAGAACTCCGGGGATGAGGAATAGCAAAGTTGATCATCAGTAATCATATATGATTAGACCTTAAAATGGGTCGTGTGTAGATATTCATACTATATTCTTAATATATTCTCACTTATTCACTGAATGAAACCTGTTACATTAACAATACATCATAATTTATGGTTTACAGTGATAGAAAATTTTATTGATCAAGTAAATTTTAATTATCAGACATCATTTGTTTGAATGATTGAATTGAAAAATTTAAATCATACAAATGTTGGTTATTTTAAATGGAAGGCTAAAATAATTATATTACCAAATACATGTGGAGAATATTAGTGAAAAAAACAAATATTGATAACCTTTCTTTATGAATAAATAGTTATCATTATTAAAAGATGTAAAAACTCAGCTTACAAGTTAATATATTGTCATTTAATGAAACTTTCTAAAAAAAGAAAGAAATAAAACAACAAATGGATATTGTCTGTCTCACTCTCACTCTCTCTCTCTCTGTGTGTGTGCGTGTTTTCTGTGTTTTATGACATTTAAACTTGTACATGCCCACAATGGGTAGGCATGTATGTTTGTACACACATATACATATATACACATATAAAAATGAGTAAATAACGTCACTTAAACATTAAATTTCAAAAGAGATAATTAGTGTCCCAGGAAAGATGGAAAAGCAGATGAAATGAGTGATGATAAAGAGGAAGAAGAAGGAGAAAAGGAAAATGTGTGTGTGGGGGGAGGGCAAGAAGAAAAAATAAATAACACTGAAAACTGATGATGAATTTGGTGAAACTGTGATTTTAATGTTAAACACTGATGTTATTATTATTTTTTCTCTTCCCTTCCTCCCCCTTCTATTTATTCAATCTAGTCAATTCTCATATTTCAGATAAGTGTCAATAATATGTCTAACTAAATGTACAATCGTAGTAATAATGACAGATAAATGTAGTCGGTATCATTTGTTGATGTTGATAAATGATATTATCAGATGAATAAAAGATAGAATGCTTCTTTTTATTCTGTTAAAAGTTTCTTACATAATAATATGTCAATTCACACTCATAATATACTCAGTCATTTTGTTGTAGCTTTCAACCCATTCCTTTTTATATATATATTTAGAATAAATAAATGATAACGGATTATGTACATTATTCGGTCAATTAGTTAAAACAGCCATCAACAAAGTTGAAGCTTTGGGAATAGTAGGGACCGTTTGTAGCTTCGGTGGATGCTTTCGGCGTTGTTGAATTCTCTGAGTAAGGTGGTTCAATTTATAAGGTTCCGATTAACATTTTGGACAATTTTTTTCATCATCTGTGTCATGTAGAATATCTCAGTCTTCTTACTCAACTCGGCTGTCTCGTCTGGTTGACAGCTGACCATGTGGTTGATAGATCTTTTTCCATATGGATTGATAAGTCAGATTGATTTTGATTTGTCTACTGTTTGTGGAAGGATCAGAATGCTAGGCTTACTGTGATTCCCCGACATTCTCAGATTCCTCTCGATTTATGAACTTTAAATCCAGCTCAGAAGATTTGACAAAATCAAAAATTCTAAGCTTTTCATTGACAAGTGAATTATTTTTATTTTTTTTGGAGAAATATCGAAAGAAACTTAGAAATTCACTCAGATGATGAATGTATTTGAAACCGTATTTTAGAAATATATAGTTCACTAGAGGCTGAATTTCCATCTTGTTAAATTAATCCAAAAGAAGCAAAGCCATCTTATTTTTAGAAAAAATTATTCTTGTCATGATAGAGAATACCATCGAGTTTTCTAAAAACTAGTGAAAATTTATGAAAGTAAGGGTATGAGTTAATTATCAAAAGTTGTCAAATAATTGTTCCAATATTAAAATTGTGTCTACATCAGTCAATAATGTGAGAACAATAATTTGTGCATTTAGCTTCTAATGATTGTCTGATAATCGTGAATCATAGTTTTTATATCTGACTAACTTCAACTATATAATGATAACTGAAAACCAAGGAGCAGTAAACAGTTTTCTCTCTCTAAATAATGACTACTTGGATGTGAGCTTACAAAAATTTTAATACAACATCATTCGAGTTTGTTGCAATTATACTAACATTCAACCATGTAGTTAAAACTTAGTCATTTACACAATACATTTTAGTCAAAGTGTGATATACAACTAACTCTAACCCCGATCTTGGTAACTTTATTGACTGATGTTATGTTCGTCACTATGTACGCTTGAAGCTATTACGAGTTCACCTTAGTCGATAAACGCAAACGAGACAATTAACAGCGTCCATATAGGCTACCATGAATCCTAAGCTGTAAACAGAAGTCTTCGTAAGCGTAGAAAGTATATTCTACAAACACCCAGCAATCACAATACAATCAAGCACACAACTCTCGTTTATTTATACATCATAGAAACGTCCTTGGGACAGTTACGAAAATAACACACTAAAACGCACAGCAGCCAATCACAGCCATGGATTTCCCTGGTGGGAAATGAAATCTCAATGTCAATTGATCAGCCCATGCTCGCAAACGTGAAATCCAAAATAAGGCATTTATCAAGCGAGTTCTGGGGATCTAACATCCCCACCAACTGATGTTAGTTCGTAAAAACACTAATTACCAATTATTTAATAAACTGCCTTACTTTCATTATTTGATTTAATGTTCTTTATTTTTTTTAGTATGTTTAGATTGATTCAAATCTAACTAGCCTTGAAACCTCAATCTACCTTCGAAAATTCAGAAAAATTACAAGTCTACCTGTTCAGCTGACCGAAATGCTAACAAAACTAAAATTGGTGAATGATATTAGGAAAGTATATTTTTTTATCCCAACATGGTTCACAACAAAAAAGATAGTTATTGGTTCAGAAAAGATTAAAAGATATGAATTAGTTCCGAATCAAGGAAGAGATATGCTTCACTAAACTCTTTCAACTGACATGTATTCAGTCTATTCAAATTTATGGTCAATTATTTCTTATAGATACTTTATTATAAAATTTGAATTTTAGTATATAAACTGAATGTTCATTGAGTTATTTTAACTTGATCCCCATGAGGATTTAATTTCATGTTTTATTAGATTGAGGAAAAAATGAACCACATGTCATGACAATTTATCATCACTTATGTGAATGAATAGTCTACCCCTTAATTTATGTGAATCTTTGTTTGATCAATTTTCACACCAACCCATTTCTTTATCCAATCTAACCTTAGTGTAATCTATTTTATTTTACTTACTGAGTGGTGGTAGTAAATCATGTAGAAATTTCGCATTCTATCAGAATTTTATTCGACCACCTATCGGATTTCTTTATTATTTCAAAAAAAAAATAGATCAGTCGGTCATAGCAATGAGAAGTATGTATGTGTAAGCTCTTTCAAAATCATTTCTATATTATCCAATGGAAGTAGTTTTCAACTTTTTTCTTTCTCATCTCCTTTCATTCTTTAACTCCGATCTTATATCATATAAATATTCTGTTCCTCTAAAAATATTTTTGTTGGTATTTACTCCTTTTATTTTTAATTAACTTGAATAAGTCAGAGGTTTACTTTTATTTAATATCTCATAAAACGTTGAATCACATACAACATTGTAATCATTACTATAATGAATCTTTTTGGATTTTATCTGAATTGCCAAAAGACAAATCACTAAAAAGTGTGGATATTACAATGACAAGCAGTAAAAAACTTAGTATTTCAACGTCCAATATTCAAAATAATCAGTATTTGCTCACCAATTCATTGAAACATTTAACTCAAGCGTCTAAAACAAAAATGAAGTTTAAACTTAATGAACATTTAACATCTCCAATAAGTGGTGTTTATATTATACCACGAGAATTATCAAAATTTAATACAAATAATGAATTAACTGAATCAGATCAAACATGCACAAATAAAAATAACAGTATTAATAATAATAATAATATCAATAAAAATATTTTTTCTGTAGTTCGTACAACAAAAGCAATTAAAATGTTAGCTAAAATACCAAATCATATTGGAGAATATATTTGTCAGTTATGTTTTCAATGGTTTTCAGATGCATTTAGTTTAGCTGAACATCCATGTTCATGCATGGCAAGTTTAGCATATCCATGTGAAATTTGTGGTAAAGTAAGTAATTATTATTATTCTTCTAATTATTACATAATACTGTAATCGACTGAGTAATAAATGGAGCAATTACTATTAAACCAAATAGGAAATGGTTAATTGTATAAACTCTTGACTTTAGTCAAAGATACTCTTCTAATTCATCAACCATACGTCATATGGCACAAAACAAACTACTATTTTTGTTAACATTCGAATTTGTAGTTTAGTTAAGGGTGATTGACAGAGATATTTAGCCTTCAGTTTAGAATCATTTTGACTGTTTGTGTTGTTCAATCTGAATTAAGGATGTACATATATTTTTCAAATGTGTTTATAATACTTAGACAACCAGTTTTTTATTCATTACAAGTCGTAATCAGAATACAGATCTGTCGAAGACTATTTACTTAAATATAACATTTATCGATGATATGAAGATTGAAGAAACACACTCTTTCTCAATAAGCCCAATTAAATAATAAATCTAGATTGAATATTCCCCTTTATTGAATTGGATATTCAAAGAGTTTATGATGTTCTATGACATGTGGAGTCAGTCACATTGAGATTATAGGAAAAAAGCTTACTAGTGACAATGCTCAAAAACTGTTTGACATTATATATTGACCGAATTCTCACACATTTTCGACTAGATGCTGTGTAACTGATCTGAGGGTATTGTTTATACCCTATGATCTTGACTTATTAGGCTTAGACCAGTTTATCAACATAGGTGTGCACTAATGAAGAATCCAAGGTAGGTTTCCGACTATTTTTTCATAGAGATTTGTCATTGGTGAAAATTAATTTTAAATATCTCTATGAAACCATGTAATTAGATTGTGTTCATTGTTACAATGAATAAGTAATATGATCTGTTCATAAATTTTATACTAATTTTCATTTGAATTTTAACTAACTTCAGTGTATATGATGGTGAGGTACCTCTGTATGACAGCATGATAGTATTTTCAGTTACTCATCTAACTCAATCAAAGTTAAATTTACTTACATATTAGTTTCCAGTGAATGTCAATATTGTTACTTGTCAGATGAAATGTTGATATAGAAATTTATAGATTATTTCATGTTGTTTATAATATGAGTAGGATAGAAAACATTTCAATGAAGCTTTCTTTTCTATGTATTTTCTTTCATCACTACAAACTTACTTGTACAGTATAATTGCTTCTTTCAAAGATTAATAAACATTTCTTGTACGCTTTTCTTCTACAGGTATTCAATTGTCCGGCGAATTTAGCATCACATCAACGTTGGCATAAACCACGAATAAATAATAATCACAAAAATATTTGTACAACGAAATTAATCAATAATAAACGAATAGCTACTACTGATAAACTACAAAATTCAATTAAAAATTCCAATTATTCAATTAATAATCATGTAACTTGTTCATTAAAACCAAATTCTTCATCAACTGAATTAGATCGACAACAGTCGTCCATTTATTCGGAACACATTAATCATGTGTTTAAAACAAGTAAACATTATAGAATATCAAATGATGAAAAGGTTTACAATGTTTCAAGCCAGCAATTCAACGATCCTAGCAGTCATCATTTCATAACTAATGAAACGAATGTAATTACTAATATCACTACTACTACTACTACTACTACTACGACTACTGCTGCAACAGTTCATCATTCGAATTCATCATTATCAAATAAAAATACTTCGAGTAAACAAATCAATCCATTTTCAGTTGAAGCACTTCTAGCTTGATTGTTCATTTATACAATATATATATTCAGTCGCTTAAAGTCACTGCCTCCTCTTCTTCTTCTTTTTACACCTAACTAACTTGGCATTGTTTCGATATTCTGTCTGATTACGATTCAACAATTTAATTTCAACAGTTACGTCATACAAATATTCTTTTCAAATTTATTGATGAATAATCAGTTTCTTAACAAAAACCAAACATTTTTGTCACAAATTGTTTAGATTATCTTATGTCACATTTAGTAAAAATGAATGAAAACGATATTGTTAATGATCATTATGAAAAGAAGAAAAAGTAATTGTGATTGCATTACTTTGTGAATAAATATGCACCAAAAGAAGAAGAACTCTATGCTCAACTAACATTTCGTACTTTATTGCATCAATGGGTGTTTTTTTTCAAGTATACGCCTTTTTAATTGTATTTTCATACAAATGTAAAGTTGAATTACAAACTGTACATAAAATTCTGTAAATTATTTACAATTCATATCAGTAAAATATAAGTATCTTTTTGATTTTAACAAAGGTATTACTGCTTTCTTATTTCTGTTGAATTAATTACCATGCTAGTAGAAAGGGTGTTTTTTTTGAAGATTCCCTGTTGAGTTGGTCGTGCGAAATTTGGAAAGCATTTCATGAAAAAAAACCCAGTTGTCCAGAAGTTTACATCTTTGGACGATTTCATGTGTAATCTGTCAATAGTTTATTCATGGTATTAAAATCAATAACTAGAATCTGAATATTCTATCATGTAGTTCACTGAACAGATAATATTGGTACTATTAAATGCTTTTTGCAGAACATTCGGCAGGTTACATAAAAATGTAGAAAGATTGAGGAGGTCAATACTTTTGTGATTTAGATAAATTGGATATATATATATATATATATATATATATATATATATATATATATATATATATATATATATATTGAAAATAACAGTTACAAAATTCGCGCCAGTTTACGGAGATGTGACCTCAGAATTTCTGAGGTGTTATGGCTCAAATATTATCTTGGTAATACGTTGTTCACTCGTATGACAATAATACAAGGTATCAGTTAGGAATTGTTACTGTATGAACGATGTATTCAATAACGTTCGCAGTACTATAACAGATTGGTTATATTCATCTAAAAGTAGAGAAAATAAACCGGAAACGGAGAGCATGGAACATCAAAAGCAATAATTACTACAATAGATTAGCCAGATCTATCATGATACGAGTGCAAGGTTAGTTTATAATTTAGTGTTCAGGTTAGATACAATTCAAATCAATTAAATTTACATGCGATGGTGTTAGTGTAAAGTATCTGCAAGTAAAGAGGTTTATTTAGTAGGCTTAGAAGTAAAAATTGTTAAACATTTAGAGTTCCAGTAATCTCACTGGTGGAATGAGACATACCAACAGGTATAAGTACATTCAAGATATTCTCATAGGTGACGTGAGCATCGATGCAGTGAACAAAGGATAGGAGTGATTTTATTTCACGAACAGAATGTGGTCATAATGTAAATTAATTGTTTTATAATAAATTATTTTGAGTGTTTTTTTATGGCAGGACGATAATAATTATTTTGGTTGATGAGTTCAACTGTTTAAATTAATGTAAAATATCATAAACAGATGTTTGCTTATGAAAAATCAAATTATTAACGTTAATTTTACAAATAAATAGTTATTAAAACATGGTACGACTGGGCAGTAATACACCTGCTATAAAAATAAGTAGTGAATAATAACATTCAGCAGAAAATAAACATGATTAAAAGTCATACACAATAATGACACCTTTGCAATGTGGAATGTTTTATAGATTCCTTACTGACCAATGACAATAATACTCGAATGGTAAGCACTGACTTGTCAAAGAAAACAAACTAATTAAACTTGGCTGTTATATTGCATATTTGAGTAATAATGCATCATTTCATTTGTAGAAAATTGCTGAAAGTAACAACATGGAGTCAACCCTTAATGATGATATTAATAATATGCTTAAAAAATGAACAGTCGCATTTATTAGGTATAATTATACTTCTAGACCTCACAATAAACATATACTTGGTTAAGCAGTAATATTTTATCTCCAGCTGACCTTAATCATTTGTTTAAAGTAGACGTACTTATTGAAATCATGAATCGATCAATGTTAGACCTCGATTAGAAACTTGGAAGCACTGGACTGCTGTTTCATCCTAATATAGGACTCATTGACAGTGCGCATCCACAACTTCTGGACCTCACAGGATTCGAACCCATGACCTTCAGTCTTGCATTCGAACGCCTATCCTCTGGACCACTGAGCCGGCATTGATTCATGACTTCAATAAGTAACCCAACAATCTCCACAATCTCATAATAAAGTAGACATATTTGAAAATATAAATGGAGACGACTTTCTTATTTTAATTTGAAAATTAATAAATTTTATAATCAATCAAAAAACATAAATGATCATTAGTTCTACTTATGGTATATTGATATCTGTATTTTAGTCTGATATTTCTCTTTATACATCGTTGAAAACGTCTTTCATTGCAAAAGCGATAACTTCAAAATATAGACTCAATAGAACTGTACAAATTCATTGAATTTCTCTGTTGAATATTGAGGAATTATTTTAACTGATACTAGTTTGTAATTAAAATTATCCTTAATTTTATAAATTCTAGAAAAACATTACTTTAAAACAGAATGATACTTCGATATAGCCTTTGAATACTTGATGTTAGTATTTTGGTGGTGAAATCTAGAACCAGACACATGTTCATGACTCCAGTACCGGCCTCATATCATTTGTACAGAAATTTGATTTTGTGAAAGGATACATTGTACTACCTACTAATCTTAGCGAATCCACTGGTTAGTTACAAATCAAGAATAGGATCCCTGAAAGTTACCTCAAACCAGCTTTAGAAATGAATTTTTACAAAGCAGAAATAATGTTATTAATCTTTTGAAGAAGATTTTGGAACTATTTATTTAACCTTGAGATAAATGCCAGAGGATTTTTCCTCATAAGCTTTTCAGTAAAACTTTGTAACTACAAGTTCAGATTCTAATGCTTTACTTGGGTAGATTACAGATTAAAAAAGAAATCTCTTCAACACTAGACATTTAACATTATCAAAATTATCAATTTTCAGAACAAATATCTATTGATCACCAGAAGTCAGTGGTTAGTTGAAAATAATGAAACTCTGAGAACATCAGCCTTGATGCCAGTACAGTCAACTAGAGATCAATGTTAAATATAATTGAATTTTGAAAGGTTACACAATAACATTTTACTTTATTTCATATTCACTTTATTATCCTATGTGTGTACAAATCAATAAACTCGTACAATATACTTCATTTATTTTTCAGTGAGATGTGTTTACAAGATGATTTGTTTGTTGATCCATAACCTACATTAATTTTGATGACTGTTTGTTATTTGCAAATGAAAATCATTGTCTATAGATTATTGTTGAATTAAGTGACACAAGTACTGATAATAAAGGTGGTGGTGAACCGTGAGAAAGAAAATCTTATGTAAAAAATATCACTTACATGGTTCAATGTTCAATGATTCAGCGTATTTTCCTCTCCTTTTAAATCAGAATAGAAGCACGTGTTTGAGAATAACACTTTCTCTTTAATTTCAAGATCAGTAAATAGTGAAAAGGTTTGAGTATGATGGATTTGCGATAAATAATAAATTTTATTTACATAAGAATTTGTTAGATTGTTTAAATGAACTATTTTGTAAGGTCATATGGCACATGTGTAAATATGAAATATATATATATATATATATATATATATATATATATATATATATATACTGTTTAAATTATGTGACTATTTTTCATGGTATATTTCTTTGATCAGCTGAAGATGTGGTCATTTTTTAAAAACCTGTGATCTTGATTGTATTTATTTACTCTGAAATAACGGATTGAATATTTGCTTTCAAAGGGGTGTGGATGTGTTGATTTCATTTCTGTGTATTTAACTGGTTTCATTATGATGTATGTATCAACACAGTAGACATGATATTCATCACACACTTTGTTTTACTGACCAGGTGTTTATAAGCAACTGAAAGCAGTTTGACGTCTGGAAATAAATAATACTTACCACTTTGGAGGGGCTCTTGATAATATAGGAAATCAAATTTATCGCTTGTATCTTAAAAGTAGCTTAAAAATTTAATCCATGAGTTACTGATGCTCCCAGTAAGGTCATATACATTATTATTATGACTGTCAACGACCGAGTAGTTCAGTTTAAAAGACCAAAGAGAAAACCAATTGCTTTTGGTGTTCTGCAACTGTAACTATGTTAGAGTAAGAAGAATTGTAGAACTCATGAAAGATAAAGGAAGATTTTATTGAATAATAAAGTTATGACTTTCTGTCAACTGACATGATTAAAACACATCATGTCAATCCATCTCCTACCATAACCAGTGATTATGTTTAAGTCTAAGGACAGTTAAATCAAGACAAACTACGTGGTTAACAGTTTTTAGTGATGCAGGATTTTTCATCGAGCTCCGTAAACTAGTCATGAATAATGGGTAAAGATTACATGGCATGGAGCAAAATCAGTCATATCAGTCCATATATCCGCAATATTTATCGTTCTTTAGGTCCTCAAACTGTATTAGTGAAAATCCTCCTTATCCTCCGATCATACTTTTCTTCTTTGGGCTGTTCTTTGCTTTGATCCTATATTATTGATGATTCTGTGATTTTTTTCCCCGCTACTTTACTTTACTTCAGTATCCTGATGTCAAGAGAAATTCAACAAGTTTAACTGTTACCAGCTTGTAGAAGACATTGTAAAGTTCATTTTGATTTGTCTACTGATAATGATAAATTATAATAATAATAAACTTTACATTTTCACCAAAAACATAAAGTGGGAAATTCCTCAGTTTGAAATATTCTCACCATTTTCATTGAAAATAATATCAATTTCTAAATTCAGATTATTACTGAC